TACTACTACTACTACTACGTACTAGTACTACTACTACTACTACTACTACTACTACTACCACCACTCCTGTGCTTCCGCGGATAAAGGACCGCTAACCAGTCGGGGGGCCAACATCCGCCGGATAAAGAACCGCCTAGCTTGCGTTCTCGATGCCTCCGGCTGCCGAGTCATCCTGCTGAGAGCGGTCGAAAACGGCACATGCCCCACATGGAACTGTCCAAGACTGTCTTCCCGCTGAAAACTCTGATACAAGCCTTCATCGTCTTTCTTGTTGTGCGCGAACCCAAGCTGCTACTAGCTGTTTGGTAGCTCATGTTTCTTAAAGCTTGGTTCGCTCCTCATCCGTCTGCGAAGTTGTGCAGATTTGTGCAGTCGGCAGGTTGGCGCCATTCTTCCGGCAGCCAAACAACTATGCCGAGCGCTGAGACACCTGCCATAGCCATGGCAGGAAGCACCGCAAATGCCTTGTTGCAGGTGGAGTTGGTCTTCGATGAGCCGACACAGATCTCATCCATAAAGTTCTGGAACTATTCCAGGATACGACTCGACAATTACACACATGCATCTAGAAGGTAGGCGCTTGGCTTTCTTAGTGCAGGACACCAGCGCGTGGTGTGCGTGATGTCGAAGTCTACGCAACCCACATGCAAGCAACCAACAGAAGTACTCGACCTTCATCGTGCGCCTTTGAGGTAGACGACTTGCTGATCTACCAGGGAATCCTGAGACAGGTTCGAAGCATTGTTCTTTGTGTCGTTTCAAGCTCCTCACTGGCATGACGTGAACTACCGTGGTTTGAAGGCATCTGGTAGAGACGGAGGTCGTCGCCTGGAGAAACTGCGTGCGAAGACACACAGAGAGCCTATGCTATTCGGTTGCAGGTGAGAGTGTCTTGTTCACGGATCAGCCAATGATCATCGAAAGGCCGGGGTAAAAGCTTGTGTAGGTGAATGCTGAATCTAGCTCAGTTGAACCCTGATGGCAGGGAGCGTGCGTCCATTTACCAGCCAAGTGAAGGCCTTGTTACCCTTGGCGGCCAAAACCTGCATCAGTAGCGAGTGACTTCAATTCACGTTATGAGTGTTAGGTCCTGATGACCTGATTACTTTTATCGATGAAAGCGAAAGCCTCAGAATTGCAAAAGCACCTACAGAACTCTTGCTTCGCAACGGCGTTTGGCTACAAAGATGGGACATGCCATGCAAGGTGGGCAATGGGATCGCATCGGTGGGCATGCTTCAGGCTTGGGACTCTGGACTTTAGCTTGGAGCTGACCTGTTGCGAACGTCGCCGATTACCTGAGGTGCGCCTCTGGAACGACCCATGACGGCACTCACGGCCATCACGTAGTTCCGAGTGCCGAACGGTCAGCCTACAAAGTAGCAGCCGCTGCAGCATTCTGCCCAAGTCCACGGCTTGGCCTGCCTGTACATATTTCTGCTAAAAGCAGCTGGGCTTCAGCAGAGTCTTGTCCGCTGCATCGCTTGGAAAACAGCTTCGCCTGCTGGCAACGTGCTGCGCTCCAAAACGTGCGAGGCAGACATCTTGGACATCACTCTGAGAATGTGTTTGCGTGATTTTCCAGATATGTTTACAGTAGATGCGTAGATCAGCAGGGCAATGGCACGCTGCTGTACCTTTGTAGCAGAGGCCGTGGCAGGCTTCAGCCACGGCGTGTTTCTTTCTCTTGCCGTGAAGGTTGATTGGCCCCATGTATCGCGGCCTCTTTGTGACAGCACCTGCTGCTCGGACGGCAAGTCAGCAGTGCTTTCACAGTTTGGCCCTCAACGACGCTGAGGTGGTTGGCGCATATGATTTGGTCTTTTGGCCATGGGGTGCGGATGTGTCTCTCAACACCAGGCGTGCAAGCTGTCGCAGTGTTCAAGGTGAACGGCTGTCGCAGAGTGACCGCACGTCCTAGTGACCTATAGTGCCGGAATGAAGCACAGGTGGGAATTCCTGGTGGCGGACCTCGCCAGTTTCTGTACACAGCCACAGACAAGGCCTGCTTTGAGTCGGCCAGAAGCTTCCGAGACATGCTCCTACAACCAGGAGTTTGTTCGCACTCTGGACAAAGAAGAGCTCAAGGACTGCTCAAGCGCGACCAGGTAAAAGTAGGACTCAGCAGGTGTACATTTTGTACATGATGTTTGTCTTGGTGAGGCCCAAGAATAGTAAGGGCTTTTCATCTGTTGCTGAAATCAAGCTCAGAAAGGTGCAACGTTGGCATCCAAGACCAAACTGCCGTCGCGACAAGATGGCATCACTTAAAGACCTGTGCGGGCTCGCAACAGCTGACGAACCGTCGCTTTACCCACCTGCCGGAAGGAAAAGAATTTGCTGCTGACTTACTTCCGGCTGGACCACGAGGCATTTGCATGATTTGCAAGCACTGCCCATGCTATCATCACCTTTCCTGAAAGAAGCTAGGTAGAACAAGTATAGTCTTCCTCCGTGGAATCGGGACTTGAGCAGATGGTCAGGGACATTTCGTTGTCACAGACGGATTTCGAGACCTTGTTCGCCGAAAAGGCGTACCAAGGAGGCCAAACCATAGTGCGTTGGACACCGTTGCACATTTGCTACACAGAGCTGACACAAGGTATCGATGGCGAGCCTGGCGGGCACTCACAGGAGTCTTGCTGGAAGTTCTGCGATGTCCTTGCTTCAGAGACGGTGAGTTTCAAACAGGATGGAGTGCCCTTGCAAAGCCAGGCTGGTACGAGAGGACCGCCAGAATCGTTTGTGACACAAGGTGTTGTGGTTCCACTATTGCCGCCGACTCCGAAGGGGACTTAAGATCTTGCCAAGTTTCGATGGTGCTAGCGGGTTCGGGATGAGACCACATTGTGTGAAACGGCGACATGACTAAGACTAGGCAAGAGGCAAGACTATAGAGGTTCCGTTCACCAACACGGGCACGCTCACTACACCTAGGCAGCAGCACCAGCACCAACTTTGAGCCTTCAAACCGCGATATGGACTCCATATGGACTAAAACCTGGAAGCATCTTGGAGCCAAATCGATTCAGGCGGCAGATAAGCCAAATCGACCTACACAAGATGGCCAAGAGTCAGTTGCTCGCCCTTCCACCTTGCTGACCCGACTGCAAAAGCTCGTGTGCGTGTACAGTCTGACACGCTGCAGGTTCGAGCCAGTCCTGTTATTTCGCACGGAGGAGTAGAGCCAAGCGCATGCGCGGTCTTTGGCTCTACCTGTACCTGCTTCTCAAAGGGATGTCCGATGATTATGATGATGATGATGATGATGATGATGTCGATGATGTCGTCCGAATCAAGCATGCTTCCCTTCATTAGGATCTGCGGATCCAGGGCGAGCAGTTGAGGAGTGAGTGAGGAAGCATAGTTAACACCGCAGTCTGGTAACAAGGGCCAGCCTGCAAGCACCGTGAGGCTTGATTTTGCGTCGGTGCAGAGCCCTTTTCCGACAGATAAGTCGTTTCCCCTCTCACGTGAATCTTCGAGTTGGTTCCCTTGGGCATCAGCTGTAAAGTTTAGTCGGACCAACATCTGAGTCAGATCCCTGGAAGGATCATGCGCAAGGCTCCGGACAGCAAGACGGTGGAAGCCATCGAAAAAGATCTCGACAGGATTTGCGCCTGACAAATGCTCGAGACTATGAAACTATGGACTTGACAGTGAAGGACCTTTCCCGGCATAGAAGATTTCGACGACAGGAAGAAGCGAGAACTTGCCACTTGGATCGTTGCGTAGCAGCTGTGCAATCAGGCAGTTCCCGTACATGCACACTCCGAATCCAATCAGCATTGAAAGGCAAACATGCTCCGAGCACATGCAGGTCTTTTTCCCAGCGTGGGGCCCTCAAGTGGCCATAGACCGGACTAGTCTGACTGGTCACTACTGTAGTGGCAGCTTCAGCGGATTTCAGCGGCGCTTTGCTTGTGCTTCCTGCAGGTGGGCTATTGCCAAGGCATGAACTTCGTTGCCGGCTTTCTGCTACTTGTCGCTGGAAGAGTTCCAGATGCTCCAAAGGCTGCAGTCCGTCAGACCCCTTATGCAACAGCTGAAATTATGCTGCAAGAGCCTCGCCAGGACGCATTTTTCCTGCTCGTGCAAATGATGATCAAGTGTTCCCCAGGTTTGTTCTGCCCGCGTGAGAGCTGACTGCTTTAGGTACCGGGCAAACCTCTTGTTTTGCGATGGTCTTCCGCTTCTGAAGCTTCATACGACTCTCCGGCATTTGTTGTACACCTCATGCTTCAACTGGGAGATGCACCTGTGCTCCTCTGTGCTGCAGCATGGCTCCACACAAGACCTGAACTCGTCACTATTGCTGCTGTGTTGCATCGACACATTCGCCAGATTTCAGTACCGCATCCTGCTGCAGCGGCTTTTTCCAGATGCCGACATCTCAGCGTTGTTTCTGGCATCGTACCGAGGTATGCGTGATACACATCTCGTCTTGGCTTCCTCATTTCGGGACAGAGGTCCACCGACATTTCTTGGAAAATCAAATTACGCCTGAGCTCTACTTGACCAAGCCAGTCGCCCAGCAGTGCAGACCCGCTTTGTGTTGTACTTGTAAGATCTGTCATTGCTGTGCAACTGCCAGCAACGGCCGTCTGTAACTTTGGCTCGAGTTTTGGTCGGCACGCATGAAACGGCTGGAGCTTGACGCATCTTGGCATTGCGAGGCGCCTTATGCACGCGCCCCCGTGCGTGTTTTGTGTGACATGTGCGTGTGTGTGGTGCTGCTTGACGCTAACTCAAACAAGAGACAACTGCCAGATAAGGCAGCGCGAATTTCATGCCATGTAGCGATCCGGCACATCAAATGGGTGCTGTTTGCCAATTGAATAAGCGGTGTTTGCAGCACCGCTTAGTGCACGATGGTTATCGTAAGCGGTGAAGTTGTTAATCATCCTGCGTTGCAACATTGACAAGAGGCATGATAGGGCATGCACAGGTGATGTGTGAGATCACATGAAAGCATGCCTATAGTATCAGTGTCCGGGAATTCCGGGACATGCGGGTTGCCGCCAGCCAGTGGTGCAGGGTGTGTGTGCAGCGCCATGTGTTTATTCACAACCAGATCCGCTGTGGAGTCAGTTGTAATTTGGAGGATGCATGTGGTAACGACCTAGAGAGATTCCGTGTGTGTTAGAGTGTGTGTCTGTGTGTGTGCCTGTGAGGCGGGCGTAAATGTTTGGTAGCTCGAGCCAAGCAGGCTTGCAGCCGTCCATGGCATCCAGATCAAGCGTTCTCCTTTTATGTGCCTCAGTCGCATGGGCTGCGTGCCCCAATGCGACTTGCATGCCATAGCACATCTTTTGGTCAGTTCGTGTCGTTGGCGGACACCTGGAACTGCCTGGAACTTCTGTGGTGTTATGATGGTGCGATTATTGTCAGCTCGATTCGGTGACCAGGGCGGCGTGGAGAATCACGGGCGCTGCTGGTATCTAGGAGCTGAAGGTGCCACATGCGGCCAGACTTGCGCTGCACAGGCAGGCTTTCGCTTTTCCGCTGCCAAACTTTCGCAGTTGTCCTTCGTTTTTTGTTAGTAGCAATGGCAGCCTTGCCAGGGGCTAGCTTATGACCATTTCGTGGCAGCAGATGCTACGCCGATGGTGCCCTCTCTTTTGGGGCGAGCCCCACGAACAAAGCAGAATCTTGTCGTGAACAGCCTTTGTGCGTGCTTGCGTGTTGCTTGAGACACTATTTTCGTGAGTTGGTTGTGAACCGCGAACAGGTTTGCATGGGGGAGAATCGAATGCTACGCTGCTTGCCTCAGATATGTGACCCATGGACTCGCCATGGACACAGTGCAGCTTCAAAGAGCTTTCCAATTTTGACATCGACCCTTTCAGGTTCCCAGTGCTGACCGCTATCACACGGCCAAGCCCACGCAGAGCGCTGACACTGGTGATAGTGGAGCTCCGCAGGACTGGTCTGCGCCGTGGCGGCACGGTCTTCCATTGTCTTCATGTTTCTTTTTCAATCCAATGTTCGTCCAGACGCCGCGAGACCTTGTCTGTGGAAGATTGCGCCGTGCTTTGAGGTCAGCATATGCCGCCTGATGCTCAGTCTTTGTGCGGACGCATCGCAGCTTTAAGCTAGATGGCGAGGCTACATCAGCCTAGAGACAAGCTTGTTGTCCTTGTGGTTGTGGTTGTCAAACAAGGCCTTGCCTGCGCCTGTGCGGGTAGTTCTGCAGCTGCAGTTGGTTTTCCGGGTTGTATGCAGCCGAGCGTGGTTCTGCGACATGCCGGCGCGCATGTGACTCGACCGCAATTTAGAGTTAACTGCGTCACATAGACAAAACATGACAGGACCGAGTGTCACACTTCAGCATGGGAACATTGTAAAGGCAGATGCATGCCTGGAAGGTTCGATCTGTTTCACCCGCTCAAAAGTAGTTGGTGGAGTGAAAACTTGAGTGTATCATTGAGAGCAAAGAAGACATGATCAAGAAGATTTGTGACGGCTTCTTTCTGCTAACAGCAAATCGCCGCAACATTTAGACTTCATAAACTGTAGGCGTGATGGTGTTGGCACAGAGCAGCAAGATTCAAAGGCATCCATCCACTTCGAAAGGCTAGCTTACTTAGTTTAGTCATCAGTGTTGCCTCAGGAGAGCGACAGCTGAAAGTCTCCACAGCGGTATCACATCAACATGGCAATTTACTGCTCCTGAGTCAACGGAAAGAATTACAGTACCTAAAGGCAGAAGCCGAGAAAGTGTGAAGCGTCCGATTTCTCTGAGCTTAAGCTTCGCAGCTGGACTTAGATTGCAATATGGTAGAGCTTTGCAAGATCATAAAACTGTTTTTTATGGATGGCAGCAACATGATGTGGTTTCGCCCTCGGGCCAAAGCAATTGCACTAGGTCTGGTGGACCTACACAACCCTACATAACCCTACACATTCAAAGTGCCAACTGGAAGTAAACTGGCTTGCATCGTGATTTGCTCAGCTGGAACCTGAATCCGCGAATGTTGACTAGTGTAGTGGCCAATCACTCTCGCTGTGCTACGACGTGGCATGCACCGGCAGTGCTCATTTAATTCCAGACAGCGCATGATGTCAAGTGTCCAGGCAATCTTTGCCGATGTTAGCGTGTTTGGAGCAGCAGGTGGGGGGATCAGCATTGCTTGTCTCTTGGCCGGCGACCGTGAGCTTTCAGTGCAGTTGCCAGGTTGTTGGCAGAACGACTGCAAGAACTCCGACAAGTTTATCGCCGACTCTCCGGTCCTTTGTGCACGCACATGTTCTGAGCTGGGCGACTGCACACATTGGACGTGGCCCAGTCGCACTTCAAGTTTTGCTGCGTGCATGTGTGGAACCGGGTCGGTTGGCCCGTTTGGTCCTGGTTCTGTAGTCTTCCGGTCCCGCATTCCTGTAGTCTTGCAGTCCTCCAGAAACAGACACGGAACAAACCGCCACCGCGTGTGAAGCCAGAGAACCACGAGAACAGCTTCAATTACAGCGTACGCAGGCTGAGGACGACGAAAGACTCTACAAGTTGCAGAGTTTGCAGCCAAAGCCCTGAAAATCATCAGGTTGCTTGGCATCAAACCCGTGCACGGCGGTGATGCGAAAAAGCAGTACTGCTCTGAACACCTCTAGCCATAGGCATACTGCAGCCTGACAACAGCCAGATTTGCAGGAGCCGACAACACACAGAAATTCAGTCAACGCAGAAATACTGAAATGCCGCCACCTGTGGAGCTTGGGAAAGCAACGTGTTGCAGCATAATGTAGAGCCCGATATGAGAACGAGAGCAAGACAAGGCACATGCAGCCCTGAGAACAAGCTGGAATCCTGGCGCACTCCAAATTCCACCGCTGCAGTCTGGGAAACACAAGACACGAGAAAAAGCTGCAGTAGACAGCACTTGGAGCATGGTAACAACCAGTTCTCGAAGCATTTGCGTATCAATAGCATTCAAAAGCGCCATACATTGCAGGGAGTCGGAACAGAGAGAAGCAATGTCAATCCCTGGAGCCAGTCAAGGGGCTAAGCTTGCCAAGGCATCATCCAACGGTTGGAGAACAAAACACCCCCGCCGTGCAGAACGTGCACGGGAGTGCCGTGCTTTTACTGCTGCTACTAGTGCGACCTCGGCTGTGGCTATGGCCGGCAACGACGACTACTGCTACAGCATCTTACAAACATGGGTGCGAAAGACCATATCCACATGAAGGAATGTTGATCAATGCTGATATGGACTTGTTCTGCGAATGGGACAGGCACAGGCCCCCAAACTCTATTAGAGACAAGTAGTGACTAAACTTGATTTGCTTTAGAAGTCGTGCTCATGAGTCTGCGGGATGGAGGATCCGAGCCCTCGAGCCAGGAGGGCCCATGATGCCCGATGCACACACACGCACGCACACGAGAAATCTGTCGATGCAACTGTTTTCCATCTCCATGCGCCTCTACGGGCATGCAAAAACCGGTTCGCTCGTAAGACCAAGACGCTCCTTTCCACATGTTTCAGATGGGTGCACACTCATGATCAGTCTTTCCGAGAGCCGTCCTAGGTTTGGTGAGCAGGACGGCCAGACCCCAAGCATGCATGTCGGGTAGATGCTTGACCCTCAGACGTCTTCACATCTCGTGGTGCACCTCGAAGGTGCGCAGAAGTGCTTCTTTCGCAAATCGGATGGTGGTCGCGAAGTCCTTGAAGGTTGGTCCTCAGGCACAGCCTCGGCAAATAGCTTCGCGTCTACTGACGTTCAGAATTTATGCAGAAGTTAGCTATAGTTAGCTGCGTCCTCTCGGTTCGATTATGTGGCTGGTTCATCCCACTGTACTCGTGAGTAATGAAGATGCTGTGGAGAAATACATGCGGGGCAGACCGCATTGGTGCCAGGCACAAAGGCATGTGCACCACCCTCGCTTCCTGAAGCTTTCCAGGATGGGGAGTCTTGTTCTGCAACACTATTCCTGCTGGAACTTCGGCTTGCACATCGCTGCTGCAGGCGTTGAAGGCGGCAGACTTGTTGAAGCGCTGCGATGCAGCACAGATGCAGTTCTGCCAGACACATTTCGTAAGCCATAGCTGATATCTCCGAGGCTGGCCTGTCTGATGCATGTCCGGACATGGGGAAAGCCGTGAACACATGGCAGTTTGCCATCAGAAATCTGAAGAAGGTGGGCGGTTGCAAAAGTTTGCAGCTCAATGACCCGAGACGTCTGACAATGTTCGTTGAAGGCTGCTGGATCCAAGCTGGATGCTGGGACCCTTCAGTATGTCAATCAAATCGAGGCGCGCGAGCACGTGTATCAGTGAGCGAGCGAGCAAGCGAATGAAAGTGACAGAAGCAGAAGAAGAAGAATGGAACATAACAAGAACGAGAGCCTGCAGCCTCCACAGCTCCCCCACTCTGACGTGACTCTCCGCAGTCGCGAGCCTCAGAGTGACGCGCGGTGTTGCTGGTTTTGAGCGTTACTTGCGAGCTCATTAACAGCCAAAGCATGTGAGTGTGTGCCGAAGCGGGGAACAGTTGGGCTAAGCGGCTAGGCACTCAGTTGTCAGGCGGGTTGCGGGTACAGGCATACCCGTTTTGTGACGGAGCCACCGCACATCAGAGGAGGGGATGCATGAACAAGGCACCGGGACAGAGTGCGCCTCTGGACGGAGGCTTGCACGGGCGTGCTATGGCGCTAAAGCAAGTCGGATTGGCGAGTCCCCCACAAAAGCAGGTGCCTCCATTTGTCTGTCTATCTTGGAAGGTACTCGGATAAAGCTTCAAAGTGTATCGGCCTGTGGCCGTCGCTAAGCAACTGTTTGAACAGGTTCCCGGAAAGGGTGGTCCCTTGTGTGCTGAACACTTTTGCAACTCAAGCCTTCCGAACCATCACCTACCGAGACGCTTCCCCTCAGTTGTGCTGGCGCCACTTGTAGTACCCCTTCGCCTGGTGTCCTCCCGTTTGCATCACATGTGCTGCCAGTCCACTCCCTCTTCACCGGGGTGGTTCGCAGGTCCTGCCTCCGTGTGCCAGTAGGGTAGGGTTCCTGCCGCCCGCTTCCTGTGCGTATTGGCGGGTCTTTGTTCTGGGCTGGCCCCCCTGGCCTCATCTTGTGAACTTCTCATTCGTTTGTCCCTGCCAGCTTCACGTCCGTTCCCTGCTTGGCGTCCCTCTCCCCGCGTCGAGGTAGGTCCCCTCTCGTAGCGGAGTTCCTCGGCAACTTGCTGCTCGGGCTGCGTTTGGTCCCCCACCTCCTTCCCTTTTCCCCTCCCTGCTTGGGATAATGGGCATCAAAAAAATCTAAATAGGCATCCCGAGAGACGACAGAAAGCCAGAAAAACGGAAACAGCAGAACGACAGAAAGAAAAAAATAAGGAAAACAGACAGAACGAACGAAAGACAGAAAGAAAGAACGAATGAAAGAGAAAGAAAGAAAGACAGAAAGAAAGGAAGAAAGAAAGAAGGAAGAAAGCAAGACATAAAGAAAGAATGTGGAAAGAGAGAAAGAAAGAAAGCAAAAATAAAGAGGAAAGAGGAAAGCGAGACAGAAAGAAAGAAAGAAAGAAAGAAAGACAGAACGATCGAAGGAAAGACAGAAGAAAGGGAAAAAGGGAAATGAAGAAAGACATAAATCAAGAAAAAACAAAACAAAACGACAAAGACAAAGAGAGACATAAAGACAGACATAAGGGAAGGACGTAAGGA